CCAGCCTGTTAGGCTAGCTGAAGACTTACTGTTTACTTCAATATAACAGCACTGAAATGGTTTATAGTAAAACTAAGAATAAGTTTATTAATAAAGAACACAGGTTTAAGTGATACTAAACAAGAGAAAAAGACACATGTTGCAAACAAAACACTTTTTAGAGACTAAAACTTAATTTTAGCAAGTTACAATTTTTGCCGAAGTGATTTTCTTTCTTACATCAAATTACTAGCATCTCTATCCCTCCAGGCCAGAGGAGCCAATGTTCATAGAATCAGAGGGTGCTGTTCCCTAAGTGACAGATAACTAGAATGCCTTTTTTCTCCCCTTATGTTTCCCAAAGTCCACTGTTTCTGCCTACAGAGCCAGGAAGACTTTTTGGGGGGTGTGGACTCTGTCTCCCAATATGCCCACGGTGCTGTTTCCACTGACACTTATTAGCTTGATTCCTTTGTTTACCTTATATGTAAATGTACTTTCATTGTCCTTTGCCTGTAATCAAGCCAGTCAGACAGGTAAATCCACATTGCTTTGTCTAGGGCAGGCTTGACTTATGCACTGTCTCCAAAACACATTTTAAGAACATATTTCCAACACACATACATAACTCTTTATGCACAACCCGTACTTTCGTTACGCAATAATATTCATGACCAACATGTCACCAGCATTCATAAAAGACCTTACTCAATACACTTTTGTAGTACAATAATATTGTATATAATCAGTCTATTCAGTTGCTTATTCTTTGGGGTTCAGACCCTCTGGTCTCCCCCTGTGTGTCTGGACCCTGATTGTCTCAGATGTATTTAACCAAAGACTTGAAAAGATAAGATTTGTTATTTGCCCTTAGGATACATCTACACAGTTTGTGGCAGACTGCAGCAGCGAGTGTCAGAATCCAGGACCATAGACTCAGACTTGGGTTACCATGCTAACAATAGCTGTGTAGATGTTGCAGCTCAGGCTGTGAATCCTAAGGAGGGGGTGGGTTTGCAGCTTGGGCTGGAGCTTGTACTCCAACATCTTCACAGCTGTTGTAAGCGTAGCAGCCCGAGCCTGTTGACCTCCGAGACTTGCTGCTGCAAGCCATGTAGACATATCCTTAGATTGCCTCTTATGCTTTCATCTTTTCCGTCTTCCATTTTGACATAGTTTGTGCTCTTTTATGTTGGCCTCTATAGGGTGGAATTTCCATTTATACATGATTATGCAATAGATTTTACTGAGGTTTCTCTATTGGAAGCTAGTTGAAATTTGAAAATGACTTGTTTCCAATTTGATGTTACTGTAAGTGTGGACACCTTGATGCAACAGCTTCTGATATCACATTAGAGCCCACCCTAGCGTAGCAAAATGTAAATGTTTTCATGTTATGTTCTTTCAGAAATCAATTTATTTCAAATGTATTAAAACATTGCACATGTGGGCTTATAGATAAGTTAGTGTAAATGAACCAGATAATTCACTGAAAAAGTCAATAAGAGTTTATAAGCAGATCTCTTTGTAAGTTTTGGAATCTAGATATAAGGAATAGATGCTAAATCATTCTGTACTGATGGAGAATAAAGGTTGAATTACCATCATTCTTGCTAAATTGTAATTTCTCACTAAACCATGGCAACAGAAGGAGATCAACTTTCTCAAGATATGACACAAGCTTGACTTTCTGGGAATTTAGAAATATATTGGCTTCATTCCTAAGAAATGTTTAGTTCACAAAGAAGTTTGCTAAGAACTAAATCAAAGCATGTAATGCTTATGAAGCAGATAGAGACAGCGAAGATTTTCAAAAAGAAGCATGTACAATTTTTTTTCCATTTGCAGCCTGATGCTTTGAGAGTGTGTGTGTATGTGCTGGAGCCTTTGGTGTCCATTACGTTTGTAACATTTTATGGTATGTTTGGATAAACTCTTGTGCCAAGCTCCTGGGATAAAGGAGACTGCATGTCTTATGGAGAAGATTGTAACCATGAGGATGTGGATTGTATAAAAACTGTGAGCAATATTCCAGTGTAAACACACATTTCCTGGATTTACTGGATTTGTTGGAGGAATGTGACATGGTTGTGTTAAAGAGAAGGGGTTTATGCATAAAAGAGAATTTTGTTTACGCAATGTAACTATGAGAAATACTCTAATAATTCTAAGGAAATGTACTTAATGTTTTCTAGATTAGGTAACTGAAATGCTAAACAACACTGCCACACCACAACCAGCACCACCACTCAAACACTGACATAAAGTTTCTAGATAGTCTTAATGAAAATTTTTCGATCAGGTTCCGTGGCTTCTTAATTTGACTTACAAGAGTTTCCTGGTTGATGTAGCCTGAGGTTTGCACAAGGATCATTTGTGGTCAGTCATTTATCTCTTCAATAGTTTAAGGATAATTTCAGAGTCCTTTTGCATTGCATTTAAGCAGTGATCAGAAATATTATAACACACTATCTTTGGGTTCCTTTAAAAAACAAGTCTCGTGAGAGCAGAAATTAGCAGACAATTTTCACTTGTGTTATTTTATATGTGGGACTAATTTTCTGTGTGTACACTAGAGATTGAATCCAAAATTGACTATAGTGGCACAGATAGATTTTCCAGGAAAAAATTTCTAACAGTAAAAATCTTTTACTGATGTGATGAATGGCTAACATCATATATCAAGTACTAAATTATATTGGGTTTCATCTATCTGCAGGACCCAGACATGTTCTTAGTCTTCTGCTCCCAGCATCTAATCAGAACACATGATTTTTACTTGACACTTTAAGAATCCTAGTAGGGCAGCAAATGGGTTTATTCATATCTGTTCTTGGACTAAAACTGAACAGTGTATATGTTGTATTTATTCCTATTTACAAACGTGCCTGTAACAGTGCACTAGTTGCAGACTAATAATTCTACATACAATCAAAACTCAGTTAAAATGATCATAAAAGGACCTCCCAACCCATTGAAATAGGCTTCTCCTGCTTCCTGCGACACAGATTAGCTTCTTTTCCTGCATTGTGGAGAAGTATGGGAAAGTAGCCTATATTGAAGATAATCAGATCTGAATGGTGTCAGAGCAAAGGAGGAAGTCGGTTCCAAAATTCCAGACAGCACCTTGCCACCAGAACATTTTTTGTTTAAACCTAATGGCTGTAAGCTTGAGCGTCTCAGAAAGTTGCAACTGCAACATTAATACATAAGGAATAACATGACCTCTCAAATAGCTGAGACTGAAACAATTTACCCTAGTTCTTTTAACTCAAAATCAACAGCTAAAATGGCAGATCATGCAAATCACGGAATATGAATGTAATGTATTCCCTACTGAGAATATAGTAAGCAGGCAGCCTCATTCTCTACCAGTTACAAATTCTGAATGGGTTTAAGATACAGCCTCATGTGAAGCACATTGGTGTAATCCAGCCTTAAACTGTAAAGAGACAGTTGGCTTTGGTGATGTCTGTATCTGAAAGAAAAGGCCGTGATCTTCTTGACAATTACAAGTGATGGAAAGAGAGCTTGGCAGCTGCTGATACCTGACATCTGAAAGCAGCTGGAGAACAAAAAAGGCACTCAAATTGTGAACCTGAGTCGCAGATGGCAGGCTTGCTCCCTCGTTCGAAGGCGCTAATATAATTGTGTTCAGTTTTGGGGTACTTTTTGCAGTATGTAATAACTTCGGTTTTCCTGCATGCTTACCGTTAATTAACTCCAATAACTCAGTCTTACCTCAGTTTAGTCTCTACCACCTAGCCCTTATCTAATTCCAATCTCCGTGGGCTCTGGTTCTGGGTGAATTTTTCAATTGTCTCAGGTATCTCCAGTGATTTGAAAAGCGAGCAGGGTGTTCACAGCATGCTGAAGGCAGGTATACTATGCCTCCCCATTAAACCCTCCTCACAGCCCCCATAGTGAACAGGAAGAGAGAAAATCGAACCCTGCGTCAGAAAATCCTCCGCTCAGAAGGGCAATTGCCCTCTGGGTAATGTAAAAAAAGAAAGGAGAATAGCTGTTCTAGAGCCAATCCCATCTGTTCCCGTGAAGGTCTGCAGACCCATTGAGAGCACCAGTATCAAAAGCAACTGACAGAAAAAAATTAGTATGAACACGGGGGGTGACAGGCTGAATGAATGGCGAAATAGGCTTCAGTGGGGACCGGATTTCACTCTTGATCTTCATTCAACACTGGGAGGAGATTGTCAGCCAATACAACCAGCACAGCTCCTAAACCTTATCCAGGTCTAAAATCAAACTTGACTGGGTTCAAAGTGACAGAATTACTCTTGTTTTCTTTCTTTCTCTTATCATTTCTTTATCCTGCCACTGCTCTGGGAATGCTGATATCTAGGTACCTTGGTAAGAACTTCAGAAATTTTCAGTCACTGTCTTTGGCTCTGCTTTTGCATAGAGCGCTGTACAGGATACCCCTGCAACCTCACTGAGCCTGGTATTTTCAGAAGGGTTCTAACATGGGTACAAGGGTCTGCCTAAACAGAGTAACTTGCATGATTGGGGTGTTGGCAATTCTAAGAGCCTATGCGCTTGTCTACATGGGGAGAAAGCCCACAGTAGCTGGTATGCACAAGTTATGCCACACAACTCCCTGTGTGGGCACTTTAGTGTGCACTGACAGAGCCTTTGTGCTCATTTGCTTAATGCCTTTTGGAAGTGTATTAAGTTAAACCACCTGAGGGCACTCTTAGTGCACAGTAAGAGTGTCCACCGAGGGAATTAGTGCGGAGTAGCTACCATTGTGCTTTAAATTCACACTCTGGCTTACTGCACACTAACTTCCCCGTGTAGTTAAGCCCTAAATTAATAAGTGTTCAATAAAAGATTGATAATAAAGTAAGAATGATTTAGGCTTTTTCTCTCAGAGATATGTAATGTTTTAAATATGTGATTGGTAACCAGTTTGCTTTCATGGGTTTGTGGAAGAAGTATACTTCTTCGTAAAAGGAACCTTTTGGTTTTTAACTTGTAATCTGTTGTCCTTTTACTTTTTTTAGTCTCCTTGTCAGAAGAAGAGAGAGAGCAGCTGAGAAAATTCACAAATAAATCTTACCTGCTAGATAAAAGAACCCGTCATCAAGTGTATTTCAGTTTAATTGATATCCTTCTGGCATACTGCTATGAAATTTGTATTACTGAAGGAGACAAAAATGTAAGTATTTTTTTTTCCTTAATGAAACTTTAGAAGTGGCTCAGCTGCCTGTCTACAAGACATTGCATTGTCCCCCACAAGGCAGGGATTTTAAAGTGGACTTTGTTCCAGAATTTAAAAAGTGAGGATTGAAATGTTACATTTCTAGATTAGCCTGTTGGGCAGCAGCTTAGAATTGGTATCATTCCAAATGATTTTTATGCTGGTGCTACAGGTCTGAAGCATCCCATAGCTGTGGGAGTGAAAAGGAAAGAGGGTGTGGTGCAGGAGATATAAAAACAAATTGAATCACTTCAGGTTATTTCATAGGTCACTGCTATGCTATGACTTGATTATCCAGATAGGGACTACATCAAAAAACAGCTGTTTAATACTGTTTTTTTTTCTGGGTAGTTTTATAATAGCTAGAATTGTTTGTAACAACAGTGTTTGTTTGGTTATGTAAAATGTCATTGGTGGGCGTGTAGGATGAAGGACAAGGTTCTGGAGTTCCACAGAAGCTGCTATGTTGAATTGCTTCTGATCAGGGAATTCCATAGCTTTGAAGCTTTAAAACAACTGTTTTTTGTTTTTAAATGTCTCTTAGAGCACAGGTAGTAGTTATGGGAAACAGTCAGTAAACTAAAGCAAAACTTTTGAAGCCTTCAAAGTAGCCACAGAAAACTTTGGCCCCAATTCTGAGTACTCCCTTTCCCCTAGCTCACCACTGGTTGTGGGGAGGGAGAAAGGTCGCTTTGAACTACCTTTGCACCTCTGGTATTCTAGGCTTGCCCTTCCCCTGCGTAAGAGTAATCATAAGTCTCCCCTTACTTACATTCTGTTTCCCGTGGGCCATAGGAAACAGAACAGCCAGAGCACTGTGTTCTTAAGCTATGTTCTCCTCTGTTTCCCAAAACAGCCGTAGCGAACTCCTCATCTATTATTGGGAGTGGACTACATCCACCCTGATTGAATTGGCCCTGTCAACACTGGTTCTCCACTTGCGAAATAACTCCCTTCTCTCCATGTGTCAGTATATAATGCCTGCATCTGTAACTTTCACTCTATGCATCTGAAGAAGTGAGGTTTTTACCCACGAAAGCTTATGCCCAAATAAATCTGTTAGTCTTTAAGGTGCCACCAGACTCCTTGTTGTTTTTGTAGATACAGACTAACACGGCTACCCCCCGATACATGAATCTGCCACACTTTAAAAAGAACAACACTGTACATGTACTGCTGGACTTAGGTCCCCCTTTGGAAGCCAAAAACCTTGAACAGTTTTCAGGAAAAAGAGGCATTTCAATTTGAGCTGTGTTGATTCATTGGGCAGACATTCAAGGTGCTGTTGCTTGGAGGAAAGTGTGTTTATTAAGAGAGAGAATTCTACTAAAATGCAGTTTTTCCTCTGATTGCTGTTGTGTTTTAAAGGCTTTATGCATAAGCTAGATATTCCCAGTCATTTAAATACACACATGTTACTATTTCATATTCATAAATATTCTTAACGTTTGCAATTTTAAACATTTAAATTACTACTGGCAGAATATTCTTTGAAAATAGTTTGCCAGCAATTTTGAATGTTGAATTAAATAATATTTGTTTTATTCTATTTCTCTTCCCTCCCGCCCCCCCAAAATCAGGTCGAGTCATCATGGAATATCAGGAAACTGAGTGCAACTTTGTGCTGGCTCGAGGTAAGGTGAATTTCAAGAACTGTAGTGTTGGTGGTTAAAATAGCATTATTACTGTACTGTATGTTATGTTCTGCTCATTCATAACTATAGATCTATTGAATGTTTTAAATTTCCTTTTGCTGTATGTAGTTATTTTAATTAATTACATGTTGTAACTTCCAAAACTGACTACAGAATTATTTAAAATGGATCTTTTAGGAAGTGCAGTTTATATTTGCAGGCTAAGCTTATTGTAAGTGAGATATTTTTGGACTACATAGATATCTGTTAAAGTTTTGATATCATTGTCACCACCGTGGAGCAAACTGTAATATCCATTCGGTGGAACAGAAAGAGAAAGTGAAGCGATATAGAGAAAGTGAAACAAGTACTTCGGCAAGATGTCTCAATCTGATAAGTAAGCCAGAACAGATCAGGTGCTTTCTCTTGCTCGCATGAACTGGACTGACACTCTGAAGAAGCATTAAATACATCATTCTTACCACATAAACATTTTTCTTTGAATTAATAAAGCTTACTTATCTGGTTGGATGTGGTTTGTGGTATGTCAGTGAGGATATTATAGCAAATCTATGGTCTGACTACACTAGGATTTTTCCTCCTTTTATGAAAAAATAGTAGTTCCTTTACCAGCTTGATATTGTAATATAGTAAAATATTTGTCAAGTAGGCATATTGAGTGCAACCACATTCATAGCACTAGAAAATAATAGTATAAAACTCCAGCTGTTTGAACAAAAGCCATACATAATCTTCCTATTTCACTGGCTGAGAGCAGCATTGGATGGTAAGACAGAGGCTGTCAATCAAAATGTTTGAAAAATACCTTAAAAATTAACTACAGAAACTGGCAAGTGGCTTTATTTTACTGGGCAATTAGTTTTAGAAAGGATTATTCTAATTATCTTTTTCACACTGAGCTCTCACACACAAGCATATTACCTGTTTGAAGGGATACTGATCATGTATTACTTTAAAACAGTTCTGTAATTCTATCTGCATGTTTCTCTGATTAAATTCTTTGATTTAAAATGGTTTTAAGACATTAAACTTTATTTCTGTCAAAGAAGGTAATCATGGCATGGGAAAATGGAAGCAAGAACAAATATAATAAAGAGTACACAAATTGCAGTATTATGCAAATTCACTTTAATGACTAGAAGTCCCTTTTTTAATGAATGACTGATGAACAATCAAGATAAAAACATATGGATGAGAGGCATTTGTTTTGCCTGAAAAATCCTCTCACCCTGAGCACCAGCTGACAGAAAACATAAGATCTATGAATGTCAAATGTTGTAATGATACTCAAATACAAAATCATTATGGATCAGTAGGTTTGCAAATTATTAAGGGGCGGATTAATAACTTTATGAAGATGCACATCTATGTCTTTATAAAGTTTTTATATATAACAGAAACATTTAAATATTAAACCAAATAAATGTATACTCTTTAAATGGAGACCTGATAGAAGCTAGTGTATTATGTAAAATGATGCGTTATAAAAGGTTACTGTCAGAATTGACAGGCCAAGTTATATCTACTTAAAATGTTCATATTTTACTTCACCCTTCCTCTCTGATTCCTAAAAACTGGTTTATGTCAGCAAACAAGAATTGTAGCACATTGGGAACTGAAACTGTTCTTCTGGGTGATATTATAATAAAAAAAACCCAAAGTAAGGAGTTTCTCCATAATTGTAAGGGCATAAACCTGATGCTGTGTCCATTCCACTCTTGTGCGCGGGAATCTTGTAAATTGTAATAATCTGCCTAAACACAAAAATGAGAAAAACAGAATGGAGAGGCTTTGTCAAAACACATCTGGGCCTACTAGTTCTGACAATGCCCTGTGAATTTAATTTGCTTCTGTAATATTTTTGATAGTTAAATTAGTAAATTCTTCACATTTTGAAGTGTGACTAATTCATACTGTATTTTTATAATCAGTCCCGTGTACTACATGACACAATGGGACCAAACTGCAGCAATGGTTAAATTCTGCTCCAGCAACTTCTAAATTCTGCGGCAACAACCTCTAAATTCCATAGCAACACTAATTTATTTCATCTCTGTGCTATATTCTTCATTTCTCTCTTCCCCTCTCCACACAAATACACACAGCTATGGGTCTGATTTTAAAAAAACAAAAGAACTACTTCAGGTTAAATGTATTTAAATATGTTTTACAGTGATTGCTTTTGAGGATGGGTTTTTTTCCCCTGTACTCTTTCGGAAGCCCATTCGGTGCACTGAAACTCAGCTCTTGCACTGTTTTCTTGATAGCCCAGCTCAGGACCACCTTTGCCATGTGTGGGCAGGGACTGTCATTTATTAGGTGTTTGTACAGTGCCTAGCACAATGGGGGGGGGGGTCTAATCTGGCTATGCCCGTTAGGCACTATGGCAATATACATCATGTTGTTGTTGTTGTTATATAATAATTAATAATTTGTATCAGGGAAGGCAGGTACTTGTAGCCTGCTTCAGCCTCTGATCTCCGCAGCTCAATAGGTCTTGATTGCTGCACTGTTTTCCAGGCTTCATAGCCTACACCAATCTGCACTTTTGGCTTCTTCTTTGGACTGTAATTGGACTGTAATTCTGGCTCCCCAATCTTCTGCCACCTGGCGTCAAACAGCAGTGCAGGGAGTATGCACTGTAATCCAGTTAACTTCCCCTTGTGGGGAAGGATGGGAAGCAAGCAGCAACTGCAGCCTGGTTGGAGACAGAAGACAAAATGTTAGGCTCTCGGCTGCAGCAAAACAGCAAATTCCGTGACCGAAATAATGAATTTCATGGCATCTTGGAAAATATCCCAAATTCCATAGTTGAAGAATTGCAGAATCCACAGGCCCCTGATTGAGTTTACATCTCTCAGAGTGGGCAGTGGATGCTTACATTGATTTGTCCTTGGTTCATGTTTTCAACCATGCTTCTTTTTTTTTTTTAACTCCTGTGAACCTTACAGAGCCAGTACAGCCAAGATTGAGTGAACTGAACTCTATTCCATTTTGTGCATCTTTCAGTGGAATTGTTCACTGAGTTTCTGTTACACCTGTATAAAGCAGTAGGGTTGCCCAGGTGTGACTGAGGGGCTTATCTGCCAGCGGAACCTTTATTTCTGGTGAAGATAAAGAAGATAGAAAGAACCCAGCTTAATTGTCTGATCCAAGACTCTGTTTGTAGGGCTGGCAATTAGAAAAAAAAATAGGGCCTAATCTTGCAAACACTTCCAATGATGCACTACTCATGATAGAAAACACTATTCACTAGTAAGAGTTTGCAGGGATTGGGCCTTCAGTTTTTAACATTTCAATGCATGTGTGTTTCTGTCTAACACTGTAGTTAGGCGCAACTGATGAAGTTATAAATGCAGTGGCAGTCTTGACTTTTTCACAATCATAACTTATTGTAATGAAGAGGTTTTCTTATGGGTGTGCACTTACCGTACAATGTAGCAATTGGTGCCTCAGCTGCAGTCAGCAGTAGACTTTACACCCAGGAAATTCAGTTGTCTGGCACCAAGTTGTTCATATCATATGAAAAAGTGTTGAGTAGTCAGCAGTGGTGGTTTTTATTAATTTTAATCAATTGCAAATTCAGGATGAAAAAGGGTTTTTTTAAAATTCATAAATGGAAAGTTTTATCTTTGAGTGAAAGATGGAAAGGAAATCATTGTTGAGAGAATCTTTAATAACTCACTAATGCCTCTGGCCTAAGTAAACTAGGGATCTTCTTCACTCATAAAGGAGGACAATGAGCTGCCTTCCCCGGGAGGGGTGGGGGGGGGGGTAGATATTTATCTGTATCTTCAATATCCATAACTTTGCTAAAAGGCAAAGGCATATATCATTTTTAGATTGTGTGTGTGTACACATGGATTCTGTTATCATATGTTTTTAATTTTTATTTATTCTTAAAAGGCTTTTTATAGCTGTCTTTAATATACATAATGTTAAGGGACAAACTTATTGCTGTAATGTAAAGAATGGCAAAGACTTCAGTTAAATGTTTTATTGTAATGTGCCTTGAATTCAATATTTTTCAATTAAAAACCACTAAAATTTATCAGATTTTTTTATAATTGTACCATGTAAGTTGAAAGTGCTGGGTTTTGTTTCTGTTTAAAATTAACCTATTGTTTCCATAGCTGTTAAAACTATAGACCTTTTTGCACGTGTTGCAATAATGTCTTAAAAAAAATTACGATGTGCTTTTTTTTATTCAAGTAAATTAATCATACAATTTCATTGATGCTCTCAGAGTTTCACTAGTATTCCTGAAGTCCTGGTATCCTTTGGAAGAAGAGTTTTATGTTATCCACTCTACAGACATTTCAGATTAGTGACACGAGCCTTCAGTGATACAGTCATGATATTGCAACTAGGTGAGATACTTAATTTTTTACTATATGTGTTAATTAGCCATATACAGTGAAGTTTGGCTGTACTATATATTTATTTGTATGGGGGACCAGGGGGCCTTGTCTACACAGAACATCAGTACACACCAGCCAGGGTGTAAATTCTAGTGCACATCAACGTGTCATGCACTATCTGTCCGTTTGGCCCTTGCTGACACGCACTAAAAGTTCCTTAATGCATGTTGACATAATATTATGAGACTGTGTCAACATGCACTGGGGAACAATAGTATGTCAGCAGGGTCAAAATGGATAGTTTGTGCATCACATGCTGGCGTGCACTAGAACTTACACCCGTGCTGGTGTACATTAGCACACTGTGTGGACAAGTCCTGTGTGTGTGCACGCACGCGTATTACAGTGAGGAAAAAGGTTTTCCTTTACTGGGCAAAAGTATAGTTATGAAGCTACTGTCATGCACAGTTAGGTGTTATACTTTTGTATTGTGCCCTGTTTTAAAGTATCTAAAGTATACTTTTAATTATAATTACATTGTATTTCTAATGGTGGATCATGGTCAAAAGTTTAGATGCACATCCGTAGTTGGTTAGCTCTTCCTGTGTTATTTAATTGCCTGATCCCAAACCTGCTGAAATAAATGAAAGGACTCCCATTAGCTTAAATGAGCTGTGAATCAGGCTCCAAGGGCAGTTTTGAAAGCGCCCCCTGCATTTGGTTGTGGCTGCCATTCTGTTCCGTGAAATCCAGCTGATCCTGATATGGAGTCCCCCACTGGAATACATACGTGTGTGCTACACAATCTGGATCGTCAGAGCAGCTTCCCTACCTTGAGCCATGATTTGGAAGAGCTATTCCATTAAATTAACACTTGTGAATGGTGCTAAGAATTGTTCTGAAAGTAAATTTACTTTACGGTTAAATTCATTTTCTTAGCCAGCTAGTTTCCCAAAGGTAGAGCTTCTGCTGATTTTAAACTGATTTGGTCCCATTAGCTATGACATTTTTTTTCCTACTTCAAATAATCATATTAGACCTTTGAGGTCCCTTAGTTCCAAAAATACGCTGTCACTTGTGCCAGATTAATACTGGCATATAGGTGCACTAATTTTTAAGAAACAGTTTTGAGGGCTTTTATCTTTGTTGTTCTTTTAGCCTGAGAGTGGCCACTTCCCTTATGGGTTTAGAAAAAATGGTTGGGACAGCTGTGTATTAGGTGCAATGATGGAATGATAAGGTTAGAAATACAGATTTTGTTTTATAAGGCCATGGCTATAGATATTAAGCATGAACAGGTTAATGGAGCACTCCTATGGTATAACTGTATTGATACAGCACTAAGATAGAATAAATTCTAACTGAACTAACGTACTGTTTTATCAGTGACCTAGAAAGAGCTGAAATAACAGCTTCGTGATGTGGAAAGCATCAAAATAATGCAGTATGCATCAAAAAATGTTTTTATCACTTTCAAAGTCATAATTCTATCTTAGGGGGAGCGGAAGACCTCTCTAAGCTTGTCTTTTAGTGCGCTGCCTCTGCCTTTACCTACGCAAAATCAGGCAGTGTTAAATAACCAAATAGTGCTGTGTAAACAAAACATATAGTAGTGGGATTCCATATGGACAGGTTTCGTTTATTTTAAATTGAATTAAAAGCTGATTGCACTACATATTTGAACCTTTGCTTTGTTTCACACTTTAGGAGTAGAGCTGTCATCTTTTTAATGTCTGAAAGTAAATCTCATAGCAACAGAGTATTCATTATATATCCTGTGTACCATCTTTCACATATGTGCAAATTTTCAAAACTGCTATCATGTCAGTTTCAATTGTACAGTTGTACGCACTCATGTTGATATCCTGGGTTGTTAAAATTACTTACAACTATGCTGTGTATTGTGAATTACTACATTCAAAAAAGCAGTTTCTTCTATATTGATAACTGTTAATTCTTTGAAGAAAGAATTGTATTAACAGATTATTTTTCATGGTGTGTGAGAGTTGCAGGAATTGAAAATTATACTGATATTTGGAACTGGCTAAATTAATTCTGGGCTAGTGTAAAAAAAAAAGTGCTACTTGTCCAATTTACCACTGACAACATAAAGGTCAGGCAGTGAAGTTAAGCAGGGAAAGTATCAAGCCTTCTTTCCAATTAACTTCATTGGATCTGTGTAGCATCTCTTGAGTGCGGAAAAAATTAAATGCTTATGATACAAGACGTAGTGTAGCATTCAGGCAGTCTCTCAGGGGATGTCTACACAGCGAAACTGCGTGTCAGCTAACCTAGGTGAGCTAGCTTGAATCCAGCTGGTGTGGGTATTGGTAATGGTGAAGACAGCGCAATATGGGCTTCACCACAGGCTAGTGAGCCGAGTACCTAGCCAGGGTTTGTGCTGGCTTTGTACTACTTGCCCTGAACCCATGCTGGGCTGTCTTCTCTACTGTTGTTACCTATGCGAAGCTAGTTCAGGTAGTCTAGCACCGTCTACAGCTTTTGCTGTGTACAAATGGCCTCTGATTTACTTGGGGAGGGACCTACAACAGACATACTATGTACGATTTTATTTTAATTTTGTGGCATGAGAGATTTTACAGAATGAACATTCAGTGACCCAAGAAATAAATATTAAAAAGCTTTTGGTAACACAGACGGCACCCATGTTCTAAGGTCTTAAGTCTAGGATTGCTTTGGTGGACTCATGTGAATACTGCAGGAAACCAGTACATTTTTTCAACTTCTGTTGCTTGACCCATCATCACCAGAAAGAAGAAAAACACATGATCTGGGAAGTACAACTGTGTTGTACTGTGATGGTATACTTGAAATAGAAATGAGAGGTTTGTTACTATTTAATGTTTATAATAGTAATGCCTAGAGATCATTCAATAATGGGGCTCTAGTGTGCTAGGCGCTGTACAAACACAGCAGTAAGCATTCCCTGCCCCAAAGATCTGCCAATTGAAATAGACAAGATAGACAAAGGGTAGGGGAAAGGAATCATAACATATAGCAAAGAGTGAATTATATGATGATCTGTGAACATCATGTTACTGCCATGATTATTATTTTTTTTTGGTAGGGTTTTGTTAGGAGGGGTTTAGCTAAATGGAAAGACAAGGAAAAAGAGAGAGGAACATTTGAAGAGAAATGATGAAGGGAAGAAGAAAGGATGCCCAGAGTAAGGTAGGCGGGACAGGTGTGGAGTGCAGCCAAGATGAAGAGAGTATGAGGGAGAAAGCGCTGGGAGGTGGTTGGAGCAAACAGCCAATCAGAGCAGAAGAGAAAATTTCTAACGAAAACTATAGGACATATTCTGATGATATCTTCACTTGCATTGTGTGACAGACTCAAGGCCAAACTCTCTGTTTGTGTGAATTGCTGCAGCTGGCTTAAATTCAGCCAGAACACCAGCAGAGAATTTTACCCTTTGATTATTAATTCCTTGTTTAAAATGCAGATTGAACACCTATGGTGCTGTGTCAATAAAAAAAAAATAGATGTGTTCATTAAAAACAAACCAGACTCACTTTCACATAAGTCCCTGAGCAGTAGCAGCCTTGTCATTACCAAACCTGGGTGGGTGCTAAACATCCTGATCTTAAAAGGAGCAGAGCACCTTCAGTTCCTGTTGAAGTTACTAAGGCCCTAAGTGGATAATTTGGAGCAGAAATGCTACATATGCTTTCATTAGGGCCCTACCAAATTCATAGCCATGAAAAACACATCACAGACTGTGAAATCTGGTCTCTCCCCATGAAATTTTGTGTGTTTTTACCCTCTACTATACAGATTTCACGGGGGGGGAAGAGACCAGCATTTCTCAAACTGGGGGTCCTGACCCAAAAGGGAATTGCAGGAGCGTTGCAGTATTACCATCCTTATTTCTGCGCTGCCTTCAGAGCTGGGCAGCTGGAGAGCGGCAGCTATTTGCTGGGTGCCCAGCTGTGAAGGCAGTGCCCTGGCATTAGCAGCACAGCAGTAAGGTGGCAATACCATGCTAAACGAGCTCTGAAAGCAGAGCCGCTGTCAGCAGCAGCACAGCAGTAAGGATGGCATGGTATAGTATTGCCACCCTTACTTCCGCGCTGCTGCCTTCAGAGCTGGGTGGCCGGAGAGTGGTGGCCGCTGACTGAGGACCCAGTTCTGCATGCAGCGGCCTAGAAATAAGGGTGGCAATACTGTACTATGCAATCCTTACTTCTGAGCTGCTGCTGGCAGCGGCTCTGCCTTCAGAGCCGGGCTCCCAGCCCGTAGCCGCTTCTCTCCAGTTGAAGGCAGTTCCGCCACCAGCAGCAGCACAGAAGTAAGGGTAGCAGTACCGCAACCTCCCCCCCCCCCCCCACAATAACCTGCGACCCCACCCCCCACAATAACCCTGCAAACTCTCCCACCCCCAAAAGTTCTTGTGTCAGGACCCCTACAATTCCAACAGTGTGAAATTTCAGATTTTAATAGCTGAAATAATTAAATTTGATTGTTAAAATCCTATGCCCATGAAATTGACCAAAATGGACCATGAATTTGATAGGGCCCTAGCTATCATGTATCCCATGAGCCATCTAACTTTAATCATTTTAATACTTAACAGTGGAAAAGCATTGAAAAAAGTGGAAATACGACAGGTTTAGTTTCATTCAGCTGCATACCATGCATTTCTTGTGCTGTATTGGTTACCTAGGAAACCATTGCAGGAAGAAATGTGATTGGCTGTATTGGTAGGTTGATTGTCAGAGTTGTGGGTGGAATTTCAAGAGCTCAGATTGTGCATGTAAGGCACAAAAAGTGAATGCTTGCCCATTTCAGCATGTGTTTTTATTGGTAAAAAGAAGGAAACTGCACTGAAGATAAGCCATGATATTCTCTAAATATTACCTGAGACGTTAAATAGATTCTAATGGGTTAATTTAGGCAGAAGGGGAAAATAGTCTTAATCTATTGGGCAGAGGGGCAAAATAGTTAATATAGTGGTGGTGATATAAACAAAGATGATTAATATTAAT